AGCCGTGCCTTAACGCTAGCTCCTTGGCGGATTGTTATAGTGGTATTTGTATTTGAATGTTCACAGCAGTTTGTCCAACTTAGTCCTGTCACTTTGGCCCCATGTCTTCGGGGAGTCCTTGTGTTGTGCTGGTGTCACTATGATGTCCAGTGATGTCCTATTTAAATTAGGTCTGGCAATTGAATCACTAAAGCCTTTTTGGTCTTGTTTAAATCTGGTTGCAAACTCTGTTTTTATAGGCTTTCAGGGAACAAGGTTAAACAGTCATAAAGCACTCTTATAAAACCTGCTTGCACCTAAACAATCAGCATAGTTTTAGTTTCTAAAATACAATTAATCAATACATTAAATTCTACATGATTTTGATTGGGGCATGGGTAAGTTACTAACAGGAAACGCACTATATTATATCCAAAAAGTCTAAGTGGAGCTGTGCAACTGATCGAATTAGGATTTCAAAGTCTCAATGAGAAATAAGAGCCTTTATAGAACATTTTCTAGAGCATATAAAGCATGTTGTTTATTTAGTTCAGACTAAATAGATTTAACTTTTTTTTATGTGAAATGGTTTGGATTGAAAATTGTGTCTGTTCAACATTTTTATATTGCATTTAATGAGGAAAGATACTTTTTTGCCAATGCCCAGCCCTACATTGAAATACTTTGACCAAATTTCATGAGGTTGTGTATATGACTTATACTACTGATACTGTATACCTACTGTATTCCTTGTAACATAATATAAAATACTTTTTAATAATAGCAATCTAGAAACATATGTACACATCCCACTACTCTACTTAGGCAACTTTGAGTAAATTCATTGATTCATTGTGAAATACAGTCTAATTTTCCACAATTCCACTTCCTCTTCATTCTCAAGCAACACACTTTAAAATGACTGTATCCACAAATAGGTTAATGAATTATAAAAGTCCATTCTGCACCAGCTGCATTTGGCATGTTGCGGCCTCCACTCTCTTCACCAATCATTTTGGATGCCCTTTAATTAGCCCACATTTTCCTCGCATTCCTGGCTGCCTTCCTTGTCTTCTGCCTGGGGAGATGCTGTGCTTGCTTACCTCGCTGCCTCTCTAAGTGTTCCTGCATGTAAATTAATCTTGATTCACTTTAGCCTGCCCTACTGAGTGCTACAAATTACCCTATAGCCGTGTAACAGTGCCAGTGAAAAAGCCAAATTGCGGCACTTGATAGGTAGTTGCTCCACGTGCTTTATGCCATTACATTAGTGCAATAATGAATGCTCTCCAGTAAAAAGTAGTGTATTGTAGGTTTTTAATTCATCCTGAACAGCAGCAAATGTTTGTGCATCTCTGTGTTTTTCTAATGAGGCTCTCTCTAGGTAACCACGTGCCACACACCCACTTAAAACCTAACCCCCCTCCTCTCTCTCTTTCTCTCTCTTCTCCTCTCGTCCCCCCTTCCCTCCCTGAACGCCAGCATCCATCTTTTCATTTACACAGACCTGACAAAATGAGCTGCTTTTGTGTTGTCTAATTGGAGGAGGAAAAACAGGCTTTTGACACAAACACAGTCAACACATTCACTCACTGCTCCACTTGTCTCTGTGCAAATGTGAATGCTTAAGGGCTTTAAGTTTTATTTCAGCCCTGCGCAGTCAGCTGTGGATGAAGTGCTGCTTTTCTGCCTCAAATGCCCTCTGTGCAGGAGGCGTTTTAATGTGGTCGGTTAGGGGTAAATCTCTGTTGTAGTTTTGTGTTTTAAACTTGAAAATTTTGAAAATAAATGGATGCAATTTGAGGCATAAGGGGAATTTCTGTTGAGTAATGAGAGTGTTTGCCTTTTGATTTAAGTGTCTAATGATTCATGGATAAAAACTACTTTCTTGTTTTTATTTAAAAGTTTTATGTTTTAGTGGTTTTATTCTTTTAATTATTATTTATAGTGTTTTTATTTGTTTGAACTAGTTTGTCTTAATATTTTTTTTCTTGTGATCTACTGTGCAGTATATTGGAAGTGGTTGTTTATAAAATGTGGTAAATAATATGTATTTGGGTTTGAAATACTATAAAATTTATTTGAGCAGATTACAAATAAAAACATGACAGGAAAAAAACGCAGTATTTAAATAAAATATTTGTACTCCACGGAGCTGGTGGAAGTTATAGCCAAATTTTCTATGCTAAAAAAAATGTTTTCTGATGAATCAGTAAATGTACATTTTTATATTTGTGGTGCTTAGTTCTGATCTAATTTGACACATTGCATTTAAAATAAAATATTCCTCTCTAGTTGTCATATTGCTGCATGGGCTTCCATGTTTTTCTTCATTTGATAAGTGCAGACAGATGTTGTAGTTCATCAATAACAATTTCTGCATATTGCGCTTTTTATGAAGTCAAAGTTGCCATTGTCATTAGAAAAGAAAATATTATTTATTGTTTACTGTCCAAATATTAGTTGAATCCAGAAATCCATATAAAATAACCTTGAGTATTGACAAAGGAAGGGCGCGCAGTGTGGGCATGTTTGTATGTGTGTGTGCAAATCAATGGCAATGAATGGGAGGAACCCCTGCACAAACCCTCATCTTTCATCTGGAATAACCGATATGATAAAGAGACGCTTCTCATCAATCTCTGTGTTTTCTTCAAACAGAGACCACGGCTCTACCTGCTCACCTGATGGCATTTACTAACTGACCCTGTATGGCTTCATGCTTAGATTCAAAATGCTGATCAATTGAACTTAAGTGGACAGTTTGCTTTTCTGTGCTGATCTTTGTTCATTTCTCCAATTCTCCAGGACAAAAAAGTTGCAGGTCTGTCAGGATCCACTGAGGGGCAGTGCAGTAGTTTTCAACTTGCAGCCAAAAGAGAGAGAGAATAAAAAAAAGTGGGTATAAATCAGAAAAAGCTGCTCGTATGAGGAAGAGGTAACGATTGAATTATGTTTAATGGTGTCATTTGCAAGGGAGTGTTCTTTATTATAACAAATGATAAAAGTGTGTGTTTTAATGAGCGCTCATAAAGACTCCGTAGACAACCTTATTTAACACAGTTTCCATTGTTTTGCACGTTTCTCAGGGTTAAGAAAGAGCAGAGTGACTTTCAGACAGGCCTCTCATTCTCCATTTGAGAACGTGGCCCCAAGGTCAAAATAAACACAGCCCTCAGCTTAAGTCAGCGCCATAATCCTCAGTAAATAATAGGTGGTGTCTATAAATCTATTAGGCAGGACAAGGGTGATAAAGACATGGACCCTTCAGAGGCGGATTACCAAACAAAAGACCCTCATCTGTCTGGGTGAAGTCTAAGAACTGTGCTGCTCAAATACAGAGGATTAACCTTCGATTTGGGCCTAACTACAGGGACAGGGTGTCGTCATAAAACTTGTCATAATTACTATACTGACTCCTGAATACAAATTTTCAGTAACTGTATTCCAGTACAATTACTTTTTCATTTGGTGAATTTCAGAATATTGTTACTTTTCTAAAATCAAAGGAATACATGGCGGTGTTTGATCACATAATTTAGACTGCACATAATCAGTAAGAAATATTTAAACCTGCTCTTGTGGTGAGTGTGATTTTTCCTTCTCTGATCAGTGATTATTAAGTACAGAACAAATGGAGAAACAGATGTGAAGCTGTTTTCAATCCTGTGTTGCGTCACTATAACTTAAATCCTACCCTGCGAGGAAATATTATATACAGTCTATATATAATGATGTAATAATATATAATAATGCATTTTAATGCAGGTATTCAGTATTCTATAACTAATTACATTTTCATATAAGTATTCATCAAGTATTCTTCCCATCACTGCTGACTTAGTCTTCAATATATGACAGATGGAATGATAATTTTTTTATGGGTCAGTGCTTATCGTGGGTACTAGAGGGGAACTTTTTGTTATTTTTCTGCACCACAGTAAGATTGTGATGTAGATTGTTTAATAAGTTACTCCTATGGGTCATTGCAATCTAACAATACTGAAGTGTTTAATTCAGCTATTTATTTATTTATTTATTTATTTACTATCCAATACATTTGGAATAGGTTTTTGTGGGATTATCCTGCTTTAAATTTAATTACCATTTATCATCTGTATTTTTAGAAGGAATATCCCACACGTTGTTCACTGTGTTCTCATGACTGGCCTATTGTGGGTCGGTATGTATTTTTTTTTGGCATAGAAATATATAGGAAGCTCTTTAAAAGAGCGCTCCTTTTATTTGGTATTATTCAAGATCAGTTTATTTATTGGTATATGATGTATCAAAGTGTGTTGGTGAAAAACATAATCAGTTCTTGTTCATTTTGATTTTGATTATCTTGCATAGTCAAAGGGTAAATACTTTTCACTCAACAGTAGCCATAGGGTGAGCTCAGAATAGCAAATTAGGTCCATTTAATTACAAGCTATTTGCATAGCTTTGCTTCTGATTCTAGTTTCACCAGACTCAGTTAGATAAATGATGAGTATTAGCTTGGTGAATTGATTCTTATGAATAATATTGAAGCAAATAATATCAAACAATTATCATTTATGGTTGACAAAATAAATCTTGTCATAGTTTTTTTTTTTTTTTTTTCCTCCACTAAACTTGACCCAAACAAAGTCCCTACATCTGCAAAACAGAGAGCAAACCACAATTAAACATAACAATTAAATACAATTAACTGTTCATTAAATCCTAATTCGTTATTAAAATAGAGAGAGAACTGCATCGATATTGGGCTGTAATGAGTGGTGATTGACAGCATGTTAAAGAGCTGGAGTGTCTGACATGCCCTGAGTGAGCAGATTATCAGAGTAGGTAAAGATAAACTCCCCTCTGTCTGTTTATGGTAATTATCTTGGTCCCGGTGGGTTTCTGCGTTTGACCAGGGCTCGGACTTGCTAATTGTTGTACATGAGAGTCACTTTTGGCCCTGATAGGAACAGCGGGGGGCTCATAATGTTGAAAAGATTCGGGGTGTGAGAGTGAATGGAGCCATATGACTACAGGTCACAGCCCGAGTGCTGTTGCTAGGATACCGCATGTGGGGAGCAGGACGCGGGGGTGGCACCGATGGACTGCCCCCCCTGAGCCCCACCACCCCGTCCCCTGGTGCTCTCCCTCGGGCTTTGGCTCAATGGGCTGTGCTGACAGAGGCTGAATGCTACGGGTGACAGGGGGTGGTGTCCTATTTGTCCCTAAATGCTTTTCTATAGACCCCTGATAATAGACTGGCTGGCTGTCCGCCCCTCCCAGAGCACCCTCACCCACTCTGTCTCTGTCTGCTTGGCCCCCTCACCCCCACTGTCCCGCTTTCCTCCCTATCATGTCTCCTTCTCTTCTCATCTGGTCCTCCGTCTTTCTCATCTTCGGTTGCCTCGTGTAGAGCTATCCTATAGAAGTCACTGTTTATCATACACATCTTTTGTTCCTTATTGTCCAGCTTCAGCGGCATTCTGAAGGTGCAGTGTTTGATGTGGTCCTTAAGTCTTTCTTTGCACAAAACTCTGGGGCTAGCTTTTGATGGTAGCAGCTTGTTAGCGATGCTGTGAAGGCCTGGCAGAGGAAGACTCTTTTAATGACACATTAGTGATCAAATAAAAACCAACAAAGCCATGAAAGCCTCGGGAGTTGTCACTGTGAGGAGAATACAGATTGTGATTCTTTATCAGAGCAGTGAATCAAATGAAATGTCGGCTTTGTGATCTGTACAAACAATTAATAAGTATTTTTGCTACAACATAAGCATAAGGGTTTCGTCAAGGTAGTAAGTATCCATTGTTGACTATGATTTTTTATTTTATTTTTTTCCATTCATAAAAAATAAAAAGACAAACAGTGTCATGACATTAAACATCCAAGAAACAAGAAATTAATGAAAAGGAGCATAAGGAAGAGCAATCTTATGTTATCTCCCCCTTTAAAATGTCAAAATGCATGCAGAATTAAGAATTACATCTGATTTTTCACAGTTTTTCTCTTGCCGTCACCAAAGCAGAAGCAACATCATATATGTTTTCAGGTGGGGTTGTAAGATTTATGCTTAATCCACTACACCACTGCTGCTGTGGGCTAAAGGTTAGCAAAAGGTTGGGAAAGACAGAGTCAGAGTTAGTGATCATCTATCTGCTCTAAATATATTTAAAGAGCACTTGAATAAAAAGGTTGGCCAAAAACCTGGACATAACAATTACAAAGACCTCAGTATATTAAAGCTGAATACAGTGAACAATAAGACACAAAATTATGACTGATAAATCAACAACTCATTCTTGGTTAAAAGCCAAAGAAAACTTTGTCCGATACGTAATATAATATATTTCCATATAGTCAAGGAGCAGTAACAGAGACGTTCAAATGGGAGAATTGATAAGTTAGCAGACTGGTGGCCCTCATAATAAAATCTAAAACAACCTAGACTACAAAATTACACTTTGTTGCCCATTTAAAAGTAACAATTCTGGGCCAAAAGGACTGCTTAAAGATTAAACATTTATACTCCTCAAACTACATGACATTAAATTACTCAAATGAAAATGATTTGTGCCTCCATAGTCTCTCTGGAATCTATGGGAAACACTGGATGAGCAAAACAATACCAGAGACGTTATTAATAGCTCACATAACCCTTACATTTACCGCACTACCTTCTAACTAGTGTGCGCTTTTAATAGGGCAAAAGTCTGTTTGCTAATTGTGTGTGTGTGAGAGAGAGTGAGTGTGTGTATGTGTGTGCAGTATAGGGGTCAGAAGTGAAGATGTTAGCCTCTGGTCATTCATCACAGGTATGACATGCTCTTCCCTGCGCTGCTTTACGCACAGGCAATGTTTTATAAAAGAATAACACGTCAGCGGGCGCTCACTGGTCATCCATTACCCATAATACCCTGCTCTGTGGACCACCAGCCTCACCGCCGCCTCCGTACACATCTGCATATGGATCACACTGTCATTATTTCTCATTTCAGCTCTGACCTGCCTGGAAAAAAAACTTACTATTTACTATACTATTTGCACTAGCAGCAAAATGTGCAGGGAACGCTATCAAGGCCTCATTTGAATAAAAATATAACAATGTAATGAATATGCAACTGGCTTTTAAGGCCCCATATTACACCATTTTCAGATCTATGTTATAATGTTTTTTCCTTATCAATACTAGCATACTGCTTGTTGTGTTTTGTTTCATTCACACATATTTAGCAAACAAATCCTGCATATTTAGACTGTGTTCTTCACTCAAACAGAAAGCGCTCTGTTCCACCTTGTGATGTCATGTAATACAGGAAATGCTGCACTGTTTTTAAACTCCACACATCTTCAATAGAATATTTTAGATGATTTCAGCCTTGGAACTGCAAACTCTATTCAATAAAAGGTAAAAGGTAGCTGTTAACTGAAAACTACTTGACATCACAAGGTGGAACATTTGAAGCATTTTGAGTTTTGCTGATGCAGACAGACTAATAATGCAGGATTACTCCTTCAGCTAAGGTAGTCCTGAACAAGCCTAGCAACAAGATCATAGAGATGGTTAGTCAGGCGCCCCATGTGCTGCCCACTACTCCTGAAAGATGGGTGAAATGCAGAGGACAGTTTCCCTACAGGGATAATAAAGTACTACAACAACAACAAACATGCTATATTGTGTACCATTTCAGCAATTACATTTTAATCGAAACCAGCAACTGGCAGAGCCCCCTTCAGAAAAGTTCTACACTGCACCTTTAAATGTTGCGTTTCATCAGTATTTTGGTTGCAGCAGAGCAATGAAGGTACCACGAGTTGAGGGCGTTGTGAATTATTGAGCTCTTAGAAGAGTTTACGAGGACTATTATCTCCCAGTTAGTCTCACTTTTATGTGCATTTTCTCTGGGCTGGCCTGGAACCATCAATTTAATACTTTCATAAAGCCAGGTGGTTAGACAGCACTGAATCAAACTGCAGCCTCCGCGACTCCTCTGCTGAGAGCTAAAGTCACCAAGAGGAAAAGATGTGTGCGCTGGCAGACACTTTTATGGCCTCTTTTTACAACCAATTTGGAGCAAAACTTTAGCTTCCTGTTGCAATAACCATTTGAAAGTTGTTCCACCGTCAACACCAAACTACCCATGTGCATAAACAGTGCTCACTTGTCTCAGAGGCTACAGCAGTGGGGGAGAAAAGACAGAAGAGACAGAAGACTCGAGTTTGTGAAAGTGCCATTCTCTTTGAAACAAATAACAAGCAGGAATCAATACTGCTGGAATCAAGTAGTGCTTGTGGCCACAGCAACATTTATAAAGCAGCCATTCAATAAAAGTCTGATTCCATTTCACCTCGTCCCTCCTGTGTGAGACTGTGGACTGCATCTGTTTGTGCAACTCCTCCATTTGGACACACGGGAAGAGGGAAAAGCACTGTTTACCTGAGCTGCTGTGTTTTTCTATACATTTGAATAATTGGTTGCAGTGAAGATTTTGCTTTTTCTCTTCACTTTTTTTTTTTTTTTTTTTTTGCCTTTCTGCATTTTTATGTGACAAAATGTATTTGATCAGACAATGTAGAAAACTTATATTAATGGCTTTTCTGTAGTAATATCTATGAAGCTGGTCTGTCTCATTTTCAATTAAATTTTATCTTCCTAGCAAAAAGTTGTTTGCCTGAAATCACACTATTCATGTACATACTTTGCTCTAACACAGTAAATGTGCATTTCCCTTCCCCTCGCTTTGGGCCTTTGTTGGAGTGGGACCGTAAACACCGTAACACAACTGCATTCAGACTATGCTCTAGCGGAGAGGCCAGGGCAAAGCAGAAGATAGCACAGAACAGGCTTAATAGTGTTTCTCATTTGAATGAGAAAGCAGCTTAATAAAAGAGCCATCAGAAGGAGAGAAGCAAAAAGGTTTTAGCTCTAACAAGCAGCAGCACTAAAACAACTCAGGTCTGAGAGGTGCTCTGAAAGGATGGATAAAGCTTTTGTCTGTGTTTTCGGGGCATGCCACATCACACGAGCTGAGCAGTGATTTATCCTGGGCTCTGCAGGTAAATTGAAGCGGTCTTTCAGCGTGGTTTTCAGCTGCAGCCTTAATGAGAGCAGCCGCGCTCTGCTCTGGTGCACGCTCCTGTCTCTTAAGAGCTCTTCCCTGTGCACCGGCCTCTCCACATTAGATCTGTGGCCTGCACAGCACTACAGTGAAAGGCCCGCTCTGAAATGGCTGTTTGATTCTGTCCCTGCTTTGCCTCTAAATGAATGATTTATTGGCTGTCAATGAGGAGGCCAAGCGTAATGGACAAAAGCTGCACGGCAGAGCCCCAGTCAAGAGGATGTTTTTGTGGATGTTCTCTTTGAGGGCCTCGCTCCTCTGTCTGGAGCTGTAATGAAAAGTAAACATGTTGCCATTGTCACAAACTTGGGCTCAATTAGGAATCCTGTGACATGACTTCATGATTTGTGTCAAATGAAACGATGCCTCATACTTATTTGGAAGAAATTACACAAATATCATATGACTCTTTTGAACAATACAAACTCACTGTAATTCATATTCATTTGTGGACTACTCTGTTCTGAGTGAAGAGCCTTTTAATCTTTATAGAATAATTTAATAATCTCAATAAACCTAATGATAATAACTATCAGTTATAGACATGGTTTAGTTTATGGTGGTGCAAATCTCCAAAGGACATTAACCCTAAAAGTATTTGACTTCCCTCTGCGACAGTTATCACTGATAGATAAAATAAGGTAAGGTACACTTAATTGTCCCCATACGGAAATGTGTTCATTTGATAACAGTCTTTACTTATTGCTTTTTTTTCATCAACTTTCCTTTAATTTTTTACTTAAAGTTTATGCAGTAGTCCTTTATTCAAATACAGTCACACATGCTGCAAGTAACAGTTGTTATTTGTATTTATTATTATTATTATTATTATTATTATTATTATTATTATTTATTTATTTATTTATTTTAATTTAAACTAAATCAAGTCATTTCCATTTTTTCCCCCTTTTCCTGCAGCTACTTGTCAATGCCAGTGTTATAAATATAAGATACTCTACTCAATTGTGGTGTCCTTTTAACTGCTTACAACCCAAATCCCCATTGCTTTCATCTCTTAAACTGTGGTATTACAGGATCGTCTGTTTGGCCCTATCCCCAGGGGACAGTGGAGGTGTGAGGCAGCC